CCTCATTGTCAAGCTGAGTTTTACTTTCTATCATGTGTGTCAATCAGCCCCTGGTGACTGATCTACAACAAAATAAAAGAAAACTGAATGGATGGAGACTACACTTTTCCATGTGATAGTACAAAGAGAAGATCATTTATCTATAAATGGCAGAGTCCGACACATATGAAGAGGTTTAATACATTATCAGTTTATTTTAAAAACGAAAAGGGATTAAACGCGAGTGGGATGAGGTCCTAGGTTGACTCTTGCTAATATACCACATCTAATTTGAAATATGTGTTCACACTTGACTCCTAACAATGGCTCATCTCTTGCCTTTCTGTCTGTAATATAGAGTAATATTTCCCTGGTTTGTGGTTTTGATTAAAGGTTTGTGGTTTTGATTAACAGTGAACTAAACTAAATTCTTAGTTTAGTTTAAATTTTAGTTTAGTTCACTGTTATGCTGGGATCTTGGATAAAAATGGATGTGTATATGTGCTTATCAAGGAACTATTGGTTCTAGGATGCTTGGAGGGCCTTCAAGAACCAAATAATATTTTTGTTTTTTTTTAAAAGGAGAACCAGGAATCTTATTCTCTTCTCATAGTATTGTTCAAGCCCACTTCCCATTTTTGTACAATCCTTATACTGTTTTCCTTGTACAGTAGTACATGCTGCTGTCGGCAGCAACCAGAGAGGACAGCTGGAGAAAGTACTTGGTATTGGGAGGATCCACAGAGATGGTGAGTCAATCGCGAAAAGCTGGGGAATATTATGAAGTTGCAGCCCATACTCCCATCCATTCCAGTCCTTTCCCAGAAGCCTGCTGCACTCAATGCTACCAATAGCTGCTAGTGATAGAGGCTCCAGCAATGGTACAGGTCAGTTCAAGTGTTTCTCCAGGTTTCAACATTCCTCTTTCAGATTCTGTTAACTGACTCTGGGATGAAGACCCTGTTTGTTGGGAAGGAAGAGAAAAGAAGGAAAATAAGTAAAATGATGTATCTATTCCTAAAACGCTTCTTTACAAGAATTTATTCCTTTCACCATTCTGAACAACTATTAATTTATCACCATTCAGATAAATGTTTACATACTTCAATTCATATTCATTGAATTCGGAGCAGTGGAGGAGGGACTAAGACACAGCAGTTAAAGTGGTGTCAAACCGTATTAATCCTGCAACCCATGTGCTTGTGCATCTGTTTGATATTTGTCAAGGAAGGTTTTTGTTCTGTTCTGTTTTGCTGTGGCTTTTGCACAAAAATACGTGGCAGTATCTTCAGCTGTCAAGAACCTCAGCTGCAAGGAGAAGGAATTTGTGGAAGTATCTGCAGAGAGGGTGATCCGTCCCTGGAGGAATGGGGCATAGATACTGCGCCATACGAGACCAGTCCAATCTACGAATCCCATCCATACCATCCTTTTCCCTGGAGGACGACGGACCAAGTGCAGATAGATACGATCTTTAACAGAGAAGCCTTTGGCTTTGCAGTTTAAGCTGAGCATTTCCCCTGGAGATACTGCCATTGAGTTTGGTTGGATAATCTGGATCTTAGAAAGGGCACCTAGAGGAAGGAGAGAATGAAAATCAGAAGGGATGAAGGCCTTCAGTAATATCAATGGAGATTCCACCACAAATTCTAGACACTCACAAGAAATGAGGACCATCACTGAGAGAAACCAAACAAAAGAGTTCATGGTGTTGGGAAGCTGGACACAATGGCTCTGTTGGTAGAAAGGCAAGACTTGGTAGAACTGTGGAAGCTTCCATGAAAGCGAGCCTTTTATTTGCTGAATAAAGAGTCATGTGATATGTAGAATCATACAAAAGAGGCAAGACAATTGGAGGATCCCAGCTGCCAGAAGAACATAAGACACGTTTTGCTTCAAAAGATTACATTGACCAGGAAAAGAATGTACTTTTGACAACAATTATTTTTAAAGCCCTTTAAGTCTTTGCTGTTTGTTGTTGTTCTTTGTAGAAAAGGGGCTCCATTTTCAAAAGTAAAAAGCAACTATTCAGGTATTATTGCCCAATAATAGGTTTAGTCCCATGTGATCCTGAGACGATATGACTATGGAGGAGAAATATTCTATCCCAATGCAGTTTTCAGCATATGCACTACAAAATCTCTCCTCTACCTTCAAGTTCTTGATAATGTATTTGTAATTTGACTACTTGGAAAGCAATCTCTTGAAAATTTCGATCAGCATTTCAACTATTTCACTTTATCATCAATCTGAGCATGAAACTATCCAAACAATAAATTTACTATTTTGACACTGCTGTGCAATTGTACAATGGATGTCAAAGTATCATACTTTATTGAGAACACTCTGATTGCTACACATACACAACATGCCTTCAATTTCTATCCAGAACACACTACCAAGCCTGTTGTCTATCATTGAACCCTCTGACCCAAATGCATCTGCTTGCATTAATAAGACAGGCAGACAAAATCTTTTGGATTTACAACAGGCATTTCTCAAAATAAACCTGGTTGGAGCCCCTTTAACTGGGTTACTTTATAAACTAGTTTCTACCTGATGACCTTTGTGCTTGCTAGAGAATCAAACTGCTGCAGAGCACGGCTTCTGAGTTCTTGTAAGTAACCTATGCCTGTTTATTTGTCCTTTGTTGTTATGTGAGTAATACATACAAATGTTTATCCCCCTTTGAGACATACTCTAGCCACCTGTGTATTTTCCCTATAGATCCACTGTCCCATTGTATAAAACACCCGAGGAGGGATTACTATTGTGAAGAACTTGATGTCTCATATATCCACCTGAGGAAGACTCTAGTCGAAACCGGTCGTGGATGTGGATATCCAAAAATTTTCTAAAGCAAGGGATCCTATGCCCTGAAGAGAAGTTGGTTTTACACCAAGAAAGACTCTTTACATTACGCTTACTCTAAAGCAAGGGATCTTATGCCCTGAAGACAAGTTGTCTTTACACCATATTCCTTGCATTAGAAAACTCTAAAACCCATGGTTTACCATAAGTCGGGAGCCCCCAGTGGCGCAGTGGGTTGTGCCAGAAGGACTGATGACCAACAGGTCTGAGGTTGGAATTTGAGGAGAGTGTGGGTGAGCTCCTTCTCTCAGCTCCAGATCCTCATTCGGGGACATGAGAGAAGCCTCCCACAAGGATGATAAAACATCAAAACATCCGGGCGTCCCCTGGGCAATGTCCTTGTAGACAGCCAATTCTCTCACACCAGAAGCGACTTGCAGTTTCTCAAATTGTCCCTGACACAGAAAAGCAAACAAAACCACAAGTCAACAGTCACATACACTCTGGGATGTATTAGCTCTAGTGGCATGAGGGATATATTTTGCTAAAAAAATATTTATTGCTATCATTGTGTGCCTTCAAGTCAGCTGTGACTTCTGGAGACTTTAATCCTAGGGTTTTCTGGGCAAGGCTTATTTAGAGGAAGTTTTTTTTTATTCCCTTCCTTTAAACTTAAGGGAGTGTGACTTATCCAAGGTCATTCATCTGATTTCCATAGCCGAGCATGGGTTCAAACCATGATCTGTTGAAGTCCTAGTTCAACATTGAAATCACTGCACCCTGTGCGAATGGAACTGTAAAGCGGTTGTCCAGTGATGCCAAACCAGTTCAGCATTGTTGGATGGGCAGGACTCCCTCTCACCTCTGTAACGGCCAGGATAGTGGTCTAAACCATCCCAGGATCAATCTGGAATTTACCATCCCTATTACTCTATGTAAAGCTGTCCCCTGATCAATGAAAGAAACCCACTGGATTTTGTTTTTGTGTCA